GCGAAATACTTTACGTTATATACTCCTTTTATAACCGTTTAAATTGTGTAGATTGTAAAAATGTACTAAACGCCTTAAATCTGGAAAATTGGTGATTATTTTAAAATAGCTACCTGTTTTGTAGAAAAGTATTTAAGCTCTAAAATATGTAAGGCAGAGCTTGAGAAAGCTTGAGACAGAGCTTTATTAAAAATTAGGACTAGGGTTTCAACTTAGGGCGTGGTGTTTATCAAAGCGTTTCGTGTTTTATTCTTTGCGGTAGTAGATTGTTATAATAGAATTACTAATGCGATATTAAATAACAAAACATAAATCTACATCATGACTTACTAAACATGAATATGTTTAGCCACTTGCTAGTAAGAGTAAATAAATATGTAATAAATCCGTTGAAAAAGACTTATTAAAATTATGTCAATCGAAACTATGAGTAATAATAAACCTGACTGATATTTAAGCATTGTGATTAAAAACATGGTATAAAGGAACAGAAACTCTTCTACGCTTAACAAGGTATGGTAGCAATTTATTTATATCTATTGTCACATTTCCTCCCTTGATAAATTGACGCGTGATTAACTATAAAATAATAGATAATAACCGGAACTTTATTTAATTAATTATTTCATTGTGAAAAATTTTATTTTTTGCAATTCAGTTTTTATCAAGAAAAACTTGATTATGAAATTTAAAGCTACAAAAATTGTTTCTTGTGACTTACTCCTTCGCTTTAGCGTTCAAGCAATCCTCAAATCTTTGTAAATCCATAGATAACGTATAACACAATTTTTTCAATTAAATATTTTTAAATGAAATAGTTAAGAAATAGTTTCTAGTTTTTTCCCATAAACACATCCTTTCATATCCCCTTTTTTTTGACAGCCCCTTTTTCATTGCCCCTTTTATCGAATATAGCTAAATCGGATTTGTGAATCAAATCAGGTGTCGATTCTTTGGGTACCGGGGCATACTGGCGTACGCGGAAACGAATATTCGGACAAACTAGCCAGGAAAGGAGCAGCGACACCGATGATGAAGCCGGAACCTTTATTTGGATCAGGAAATAGTATCCTAATTCTCTCATAAAAATAAAAGAGAACCAGAATAAAAAGGATTACTATGATAATATACTAGAATTAACACAATTTAAATCACTTATTGGTACCTATAAGAATAAGAGATACCAGGATTGTATAAACCTATCAAAAAAAAACTTCGAACCATCATAGGAATACTAACAGGGCACGGTAAACTAAAACACCACCTTACAAGACTGGGTATACTTACGGATACAAACTGTAGATTGTGTGAAGAGAATGAGGAGTCGGTCACACATGTGCTGTTAGTATTCCCTGCGGTAATGCACATACGAAGTAGGCTTCTAGGAATGTGTATTCTTACGGAAGAGGCAATAAAACTTTGTAAAGTTGGTTCTATACTATTTTTTATTGACGCAACAGAGCTTAAATGCCTACTCTAAGCCCAAAAGGGGCACAATAGATCAGACAGTCGCAGTGCCTCATCCCCTTACAATGATAATAATGTATAGAATATAATAGGATGCGTATAATTATTAAGAATATAGTTTTTATTTGATGCTTTTACTAATTGTAATTAATTAAATGCATGCTAAAATAAAGGTAATATGTACTGATCATATCAATTTAATGTGTCAAAACGTAATATATTTTGTAGATATAACAAGTGTATAATATATATTATATATATATTCATTCATATATATATTCATTTATATTCATTCATTTAATGCTGTAGGTGTATGTATAAAATAAAAAATCGAAAATTACCTGGAATTCGTTGCATAATTTGCTGTCGATATATTTCATGTGCAATATGTTGCTGCATTCGTAGATCAACCAACTCGTTCATTGTAATCATTTTGACTTAGTATCTGTCTTCCCTGCCAATTTAATAATTGAGTTTTATTTATTACACTTGCGATAACTTCACACTTTCGATTTAATCGTTTTCTTTATTTAAAACTAGTTTTTTTAAACATCAGTCAATGAAAAAACATTTATTTGTTTTGTTAATTTGTTTAATTTATTTAATTATATATAATAAATTTTTATATCGTTTAATTAAGACGTTAATAATTAAATATTCTACACCTGAAAGTGTTTTAAAAATATATTTAAAAAGTATTTCAGTGTTGCAAATTTGTTTATTATTTTTTTATTTATTGCTAATAACTTTTGTGTTAATTTTTTTATCACTTAATAATTTTGGTTACAAAAATATCTTTTAATGAAATCCCGTCGCTAAAATTGTGTTTTCAAACCAAAGTACGTGTTTGCACTGAACAAGTTTATTTTTGCGCCGAACACTACTCAAACAAGCTTTACGGGTTCGTTGACTAAATTCGAATTGATAGGAAATCGATCGATCGATCGCCCGTCTTCGATTGCTTCGTATTATATTTGACACGTTACAAACAAGTATTTTATGTGTATATTTTTATTCCTTGTTTTTTGAAGTGCAATAATTTTTTACTTCTTAGTTGTCTGTCTGTTTGTTTGTTTGTTTTGGAAACTGATCGTCTGTGCTATGGCTTGAGTTGCATGTTGTTTTGTTGTCTACTATACTACCTACTACCTGCTGAAAATACCGACAATAGATCTCATCTTCTACAAAGTATAAACAACCAATACGCATACAGATGAAACTAAGTTTTTTAAGATTTCCCCCTAAATTGTGATTGGTTGTCGCAAGCAAATGTCTTCTGTTTCATTTCATCGCTGTTCTTTCTACAGTTTTGTGCATGTGCCTTTCTCCATTTTGTACAAAAAAATCACAACTTTCTTTCTCTTTCTTTGATTATGAAAATCAGCGATGGCGTTACTTTTGCATTTTATTTCGGCTTACGATATTTCCATTTGCTTCTTGTTTTTCAGTTTTATTTGTAATTGGATTTAATTTAAAAGTGCGAAGTTAAACAGCAGCACTAAATGTTTTAGTCAGTTGAGTGTTGTTTTTGTAGCATTTGGTGTATATTAACAGTTGCCGTTTGTTTCATTTTATTGTATGGATTTGCTTCTTCAACTTTATTGTTTTTTTTTTTCCTTTTTGTTAATTGCACGCCATGATCCATAATTTTTATCGCCTACCAGCCGTCTGCGCTTGCGTATATGCCTGGTAAGTCCCAACACAGTGGTGGTCTGTCTCTTGACTCTTGGTGCATCAAAGCACATTTGTGCGTCGGTGACGTTAGGTTCATGGCAGTTGTTCAAGGCATTATTTCACATTAGCAGGTGAATTTGATTGCTACAACCACACATTTTGCTCAATTTGTACTTAAAAAGCGGAAATTAATAAAATGTTTGTATTGCTAAATGTTATTAAAAAAATCTGTTATATTTGTTATATGTAATAATATAAATAAATTAACATAATTAATTGCAATTAGTTGTAATGATTGGGTAAGATCATTTCAAAATGCATGTGCATATATTGCAAAGGTGCAGTATAATGTATGGTTCCAATACATTGTAAGGGTTCAGTATATTGTAAGGGTTCATTCTTTTATATACAGATTTTGTATAAGCAAAGGCTCATTATTTTAAAAAGTGTACCTAGAACTTTCATTTATTTTACTTAATAAGTCAGTAAAATGAGCCCGAGTTATATTGAAATATACTAGAGTTTCATTTAAAACGCAACTACTTTCTGCTATCTAGCCAAATTTCTTAATCTCGATTAATATGACTAATATGACATAGGCCGAACTTTATTAAATTTTATTATGCAATTAGTTTTTCCATAATTTGAGTTATGTAGTTCCAGTTTTAACACTTGTAATTAGCTTAAAAAATTAAATTTTATAATTTTAATTTTTCTTTATCTCTTTTTGAATAACATCATTTATTTTCCGGTAGGTGAAAATCATCGAAAGCCACAGTGATTATCCAAAGAAATTTATGTACAAAATATATATACATTTGAATAGAAATTATATATTTATCCTGTTCACAATTTATTGAAAGTGTTATTACACACTTGTGTATATACTTTGCATATACACTTTTAGGTATCTGTTTCATTTATCTTCCCAATGCAGCTAAAACTACTTTTGTTAATGAAATAAAGATTTGGTTGTTTCCATTAATATTATACATATTGCATATAAAACATATGAAAAATATTTCAAATATTGGTAACTTCCCTTGTGGGAAATTTTTTTTTAATGGTTGCTTTTCGAATTCATTTGAATAATTATAATATGAGTCATTTTATATAATAAAGTTTTATATGGTTTTTATTTTATTTTATTTTTTCGTTTTTATTGCTACAACTATTTGCATTATAAACAACGAGTAGCTTGAATCTGATCAATACTATACATACATAAATAAGCAATTTTCTACACAAATTACTTTACATTCTAATTCAATGCCATGTCAGCGACATTTCGCCGTTTTAGTCGTCTTGGTTGTCTATACGAGGTTATGATGTTAACAGCTTCTGTGTCAACATGTTACTGTAACCTCAGTTTGTGACTTGTTACTTTCTTTCTTATTTCTTCTGCGACTGTGAACAATTTTAGATCACGGTGTATATCGCTGTTCCTAATGTACCATGGCGCTTTTAAAATATTTTGTAGAACCTGGTTCTGGAAACTTTGGATTATTTCGACGTTACTTTGGCTACGCTCCCCCATAGTTCAGCGCCATATGATTGTATTTGATTGTATAGCAGAATTCCATTTTTCGTAACTTCATATCAAGCTCGTCTCGTTTATTTTTTATGTGTTCCTTCCATCGAAGTTTTGCGTCCAACGTTATGCCAAGATATTTTGCAGTATTGTCATATGGTATCTGAGTACCTTGAAAAGTACCTTGAATCGAAATAGGAAAGTCTGTATTTTTTTATTTGTAAAATCCACTTAAACCGATTTAGCAGAATTCAGTTTGATACACCATCTTTTTGTTCAAATGTCTAACGAATCTGTAGCTGTTTGTAATTTGGCTACTGATTCTTCAACGGAGTCAGCAACCGCCAGAATTTTGTAATTTTACTCCCTTGAGGTACACCAGCTTTTATCGCAGATAGATTTGAATAACATTTTTAATGTTAC